AGGTTAATCTTTAAGTTTTTAAATATAAATTGGCTAAGTTTTTCAAAACCTTGTGTAAAGTTATTTTAAAGTCTTTTGATTTAACAAAAATGGGGAGAAGTGTAAAATGTTATAGTAAGGTAGTAAGGGGGAGTAATTTCAAATTTGATTTTCAAAATAGTTTTTTCAAAGAAAATCTTAAAATTACTCAAGTGTTTTGTTATATCAAAAAGGGGGAGATTGTTGAAAACATTTTGATATTTCGATATAACAAATTAGTTTAAAAGAATTTTAAGATTTTACAAATGATTTTCTAAGTATATTCGATTCAATTAATCGAATATCAAATTATTACTCCAAGTCTTTTAAGATCAATTTCAAACCTTACTAAATGTGTACAATTGTGTTTTATACTAAATATATTTTTGAAACAATTTTCAAAGTATTTTGAACCAAAATCAAGCCTAAAATCAATTTTTCAGAGTGATGCACCGATGCACCAATCCATGCATCGATGCACCATGAATTAAATTGAACATCGAATGCATTTCATGCATCGATGCACTTACCATGCACCGATGCACTGAGGATTTTATGAAAACATCGAATGCATTTGATGTATCGATACACCAGCCATGCATCGATGCACTATGGCTATTTTGAAACATCGAATGTACTTGATGCATCGATGCACTCTTAGTGCACCGATGCACTAAGGGTCCAACGGTCAAAATATTTGAATTTTACACTGATACACCATGGGTATGCATCGATGCACTGATGCTCTCAACTGTTTTAATTAATTATTTTCACACTTAAACGGCTCTATTGACTCCACTAATCATCCCCAACGTTCAGAAGTGATTCAATGTGTATTTAAACAAGCTTAGAAGTCATTGATCAATAACAAGAAACAATAAGCAACTAGAATCAAGAGAGATTCAAAGTGAAAGCATCAAACCTCAAGTTTGAGCATTTCAAGCATATTTTTCATTCAATATTCATTTTACTTTCAAGAACACTTATTGTGCTCAATTGTATTTATTCTTGAGTTTTCTTTCTTTGTTCTAGAATTGTGCAAACATATTTTCCTTGTGAGGTTTTTCTTGTAAGTTTGCAAATTTGTAATATTCTCTTTGAGAAAAGTGTGTTCTCAAGAATTGGGGTATATTCTTGAGGGAGTTGTAAGGTTATCTCTTTGGCCTCAAAAGAAAGAACAAATTAGTGAATTTGTTGGAAAATCCTTAGTGTGGATAGCTAAGGTAGTGGACGTAGACTTTAGTTGATAAAGTCGAACCACTCTAAATTATTGTGCAATTACTTTCAATTTTCTTCAAAAGCTTCCACAAAAATTTTTATTGTCAATTCACCCCCTCTTGGTCGATTCCATCGATCGATTAACTCAACAAAACATGTATCAAAACAAACTACCACAAGTAATACACAAATATTTGTGGTCCTTTCGATATACCATCTTGGGGCGATGAGAGGTATTTTATCACATTCATTGATGATTACTCTAGGTATTGTTACCTATATTTACTATATGAAAGAACTCAATCAGTTGATGTCCTTGAGACATTCATTACGGAGGTTGAGAGGCAGTTAAACAGAAAGGTTAAGGTAATATGTTCTGATAGAGGTAGTGAATATTATGGAAAGACATCGAAAGTTGGACAAATTCCTTGTTTATTTAATAAGCTCTTTGAGTCTAAGGGCATTTGTGCTTAGTATGCAATGCCCGGATCGCCACATCAAAAGGGTGTAGCGGAAAGGCGTAATCGTACATTGATGAAAATGATGAGAAATATGATGAATGATAGTTCTATACAGGTTTCATTGTGGATGTATGCATTGAGGACTATCGTATACATATTGAATAGGGTACCTACTAACCTTGAGGTACTTGCAAGGCACTAAGGATCACATGCTCACATATAGAAGAACTATTAACCTTGAGGATGTTGGTTACTCGAATTCGGACTATGTTGGATGTTCGGATACCCAGAAGTCCACATTCGGCTAGTGTTCCTTCTAGCTGATGGAGTTGTCTCATGGAAGAGTGGTAAGCAATCTGTCATTGCTACTTCCACTATGGAGGCTGAATTCGTAGCATGCTTTAAAGCTACAGTTCAATCATTATGGCTACATAATTTTGTTGATGGTTTAGGCATCGTTGGTACCATTACTAGACCGATAAGGATTTATTGTGATAATGCGATAGTTGTATTCTTCTCTAAGAACGATAGATACTCCAAGGGTGTCAAACATATGGATTTAAAGTATCTATCTGTCAAAGAAGAGGTGCAAAATCAAAGAGTTCAAATAGTACACATTGGTGCCGATGATATGATTGCGAATCTGTTGACTAAAGGACTAGCTCCTAAGACATTTATTGGCCATGTTAATGAAATGAGAGTAGTCGTGAAGTCTTTGTATAGCGGATGATTAGTCATACATGTATGAATATATGTCTTGCACATTTATGTTTGTTTGATACTCTAGATATCGATGTTGGTTTGGATTTTTCTTATCTATGAATCATATTTTAGTTATGCATATTTTGTTATGATTATAGATGTTGGATTTTATTTTAAGACATTGTCAAATAAGATATTTATGGGTGTCTATCTTATTAAATTATGTCTGTTTTAATTGGATTGACATGTAATACATGGAAGGAGTCAAGACGTTTGACAGGCCCATGACCACCATGATTCGATTGGTTTAGTTCTTACAAAGTTGTGACTTGTATATTACATTATTTAAGTGAGCTCAAATTATGTTAATATGATATAAACTTGTCATATATGAATCAAGTGGGAGAATGTTAGAAATTTTGATTTCTAATATTGATTCATATAATTTAAGTAATTGATACTTGTTGTTGTTGTTGTTGTACATACAATAATGATTAGTGTAGTATTGAGGAGGCAGTTATCGGGTGTAAATCCCTCCGTCTCATACCATGAAAATATAAGTTTGAGTGGTGTTATGTGTAACTGAAAAGTAGATGGGTCTTTCGATTATTTTGATTTAAAAAACATAGTGGAATCATTTTTAAAAAAACTCACGTAGCTGACAGTTTTTTTTCAAAGCTCTCTCTTTTTCTCTTAAAAAGAAAATAAGAAGACAATATGTTTTGGGGTTTTGATTCTTTCATCAATAATCAAACAAGTCTTGATATCATCACAAGTCAAATTGAGGATTATAAAGTATTGAGATTGGATAACATTTATTATTTATTGCTTTTGGGATATTCAACTATCATAATAGAATCATCAAGTAAGTTTTCATTTCTTTTACTGTAATTCTTAATAATTACGTCGTGAGCTTAATTTTAATTACTCTATCAACATCCTTATGTGTTAATTGATTCCGCATACAAGATTAATTAATTTTAACAAATATAACTTGAATTGTTGCAAACATAGTATAAATATTGTTCTATTATATTGTCCCGTACATCTTTCTCTGTTTTAACCAAGAATTTTATAGTACTTCAATTTGCAAAAACTAGTGGTAATAATTATAGCACACATAAATTGATAGGAGAAAGGTGGTATTTAGGGATGGATCGACGGGTGAGAGACAATCGTCCACCTGAAATTTTAAAAGTTATTTTAGATTTTAGATTTTTTTATGTATTTTCTATTGAAAATTTATTTTCGTCCTCTTAAAATTTTATGAATTTAAATTTACCTCTAATATAAAATTTTATGTCCGTTCCTACTGGTATTCTTGCTTAATCTATTGCAACCTAGTATTATTTGATTCTATGTACCAACTTTGATTCCAAATTCATGTGATTTTGATATAGGCTCATTTTAAATTATTTTGAACGTAGATTTAGGTATAGAATTACGTGTTTTAGATTTATAAAGTATTTAAATTTAATGGACCCTCCAAACCTTTGAATGTTTAAATAGTTTTAAAGTATAAAATCTAAACACTAAACTTTATAAACTCATAAAAAAAATAAGACACAACCTTCCGAGTTGAAGCGTTTAAATTTAAATAATAGGGAAATAATTTAAAAATCATACAAAATAAAATATATCTAATGGACATGATGATGACACGTCATGCTTTGTGAAAAACCTAAGCAAGCTTTTGAAGTGGGCATGATCCTAAAATACATAATCTATTGATATTTAAAAAAAGAATATTATTATTTGTGATTGAAAAATAATTATATAATTCCACTATATAATGTCATTGAAGCTGACAGTTAATTTAATGGGACATGAACTATGATTTTTATTTAAGATTGCAATTAACAAAGTGGTTGATTAGTGGGGTCGAGATGACATGGCATTTTTGGTGTTATTACACTGCCAAACCTTAATATAATGGAACCACATACATCCTCCTTGTTAGAAAACTTGGACACGAGAAACTATTAATTATACTACGTACCTTTAACAATCATATAATAATTCTATTTTTTTTAAATATAATAATTATAATTTTTGTAAGATATAATAACAAGAAAATATAAATGATAACCATTGTAGAAATACTTTTTTTAATCATCCATTTAATAAATAATAATCCATTTTAAAACTCATTCACAGTGTTAGTGACTATGCAACCAAATGAAATATTATATAGTTCAATCCAACAAATTAGATGGCAGAAAATAACATGTTGGGGCAGCTGCCGATACCATGGGGGTGGAGGAGGATATTTATAAAACATTGTATTATAGTTCTTTAATGGCGAATAGTTTGTCTGTGAGTATATTTATTTTTAGTAATATGAGATGATTATAACTTATAATTTTATAAGATAATATTTAATTAGAGTTTTTAAAGTTATTGATAATATATCTTATAAATATAACTGTTAGAATTCAATATTTCTAGAGAATAATAATTATGTTATCAATTTGAATATATTTTTTCTCTTTCTTTATTAAGTTAAGATGAATATAAATTAAATAACCTCTAGTCCTTTAAATCTCTGCTTGGTTTCAGATTTTCGAGTGTCCAAAACCAAACAAACCAGTCGTCTATTAGCTGGTTTGCACTTCCCACCGAATATCCTCCAGCAATTCCTTCTTCCCTCTCTGTTAAAAACCCTCAAAACAAAATAAAAAAAGTTTGAAAACTAAAACCCTGAGAAGATCAACAAAAAAAACCACGAAAAATGAGTGAAACCTTGAAGAACAAGTACCAAGTATGTGAAGAGATCGGAAGAGGGCGGTTCGGGATCATATCACGAGTGTTTTGTCCCGAAACCCAAGCCTCGTTCGCCTCCAAATCCATCGACAAACGCCTCCTCTCCGACCCCCATCGATCGACAATGTCTAGAAAATGAGCCTAAAATCATGACCCTGCCGTCTCCCAACACAAACATCGTCCAGATCCACGACGTCTCCGAATCCGAACACACCCTTCAACTCATCCTCGACCTCTGTCAACCCTACACTCTCCACGACCGGATTTTACACTTGTCTGAACCCCAAGCTGCATCGTACATGCAACAGCTCATGTCTGGTCTGGCTCGTTGTCACGGGCTTGGGATTGTTCACAGAGATGTTAAACCCCACAATATTTTCTTTGACTTTAGAGGTAAATTAAAGATCGGGGATTTCGGTTCTGCAACATGGTTAGGTGAACTTGGAATGGTCGATGGGTTGGTGGGGACACCTTATTATGTTGCTCCTGAGGTTGTGATGGGGAGAGCTTACAATGAGAAGGTTGATGTTTGGAGTGCCGGTGTCGTTTTGTACGTTACGTTGGTCTGTGTTCCGCCGTTTTACGGTGAGACGGCGGGGGAGATTTTCGAGGCTGTTTTGAGAGGTAATCTGAGGTTTCCTTGTAGGGTTTTCAGATCGGTTTCGGGTGGGGTTAAGGACTTGTTGAGGAAGATGATTTGCAGAGATGTTTCTAAGAGATAATCTGCGGAACAAGTTTTGAGTGAGTAAAAAATTTCATTCTTTTGAATCGCAATGATTAAAGAACATGATGTAGCTAAATAGATTGTTGATTTGTTCATTGTTTATAAATGCAGGGCACCCCTTGGATCATGAATGGAGCGTTTTAAATAACATCAAAAGAGGTTGAAATCATCAGTGGAAACCAAAGTATGAATAAGTCGTCAATGTAAATATTAACGACAAGTTGGTCCCCAAACCCAGAAAGCCCACCGGCTGCTTTGCTTTCACCGGAATCCGGTGTTTCCTTTTTCACGTGGGGTTAAACCGCCATGAACCTACCAGGCTACCAGTCTTTTTTTTTTGTTAATGGATGAGCAGTGGAGTTTGAGAATCTTCCTCTTGTATTTGTTTTATAATAATAAAACAACAGCTTAAGATTAAAGAAAAATTCTAAAAAACATTATAATAATAAGTTATGACAGTAATAGTTTTACAATTTATTTATACTAAAATCATAAAAGTAATTTAATCTTAATCTTAGGTTATAAAAAAATTCATAATTTTAATTATTCAAAAAAAAAATTATAAAATGATTATAAAATAATATTCATTTATTTCTTTTAAATTTTTTACGATATACACATATTCTATAAATATAATTATTTAAATTTAAAATTTTTAAAAATAATATTTTATTATTAAAATTATTTGATAAATTACTTTAAAATAATCTTAATATATATAATAAAATTAAAATAAATAAATATTATAATAATATAAGTTCTACATCATTATCCGTTGTTGTTATCATTATTTCTCTCAAGTTGAACTTTGGGAAGTCATATTAGTCTTGACTATATAATCAAACGTGTCCCAATGTAAGCTCACGTGCACAATCCCTAATGTCACGTGACGTATTTCTTCATAAGAACCAACCCCCTATTTCCTTCTTAATCCAATTGCCGAAACCCAGATTTTACCAGCGTTTCTCACCAAGCAAACGGCGCTAAAGCGGAAAGTAAAAATAAAAAAATAAAATGAGAAAAGGAGGGCCTAGAAAGGAGGGGAACTACACGAATCCATGTTTAACGATGCACCAGCCATGGGCTTCATTGTTAGTTTATGGGATCAAACGTATTGAAGGAAGATCTTGGCCTGCTCCAATCAGAGGTAGCCTCTTTTAAATCAAACTTTCAAATTGATGCATTAACCGAATACCCATGTCTTATTATTGTGTTATATTTCATGGGATTCTTTTATTTTCGAGAGAATAACTAAGATATGTTTGGAAAATTTTGGTAAAGTACCAAATTTATGTTTTTCATGGTTATAATTTTCTCCATAATAAGTTGTTATAGGATTTTAAGTCATGGGGTTGGTTGATATCTAGTCTTTTACTCAATTGATGAAGAAAAAGTTCAGCTGTTATTGACTGTTCATGCTGCTTTGTATTGTAACTTAATTTGGTGTTCTTATCTTCTTCTTTTTTATATAAATCATGCTTGTTAGGAGTAAAAGAAGGACCAAATTTGTTATTGTCCAAGTTTTAGAATGTTTTCAATCTCACAATTATGACTGTCTTTGATTATTTTTGACCTGTTCATATGTTTGTGGGGCACTTCTAATTAAAGTTGATATATTGGTTCCATAACATGAAACTGGGGAGGGACATTGAGGCAGTGAACTAAAAGGGGTAAATTGCCAACTTTGATTTTTCTTTCTTTTACTATAATTAGATATTCAGGCTTTCATAGCTATGAGTTTTTTCATGTTTGGTTGAACCATACTATTCCCGATTGGAGAAATATTTCTACATGATTCCAGCAAGATCTTTTGTGATCAATGTTATTGCATTAGCCCCAAGTTCGGAATGTCTATATTGTTTTAGAGAAATGATGGTTTTGATGCATTTTTAGCTAGTATGTATTTTCTTTCCTGTCCTTCCAAATGAAGCTCCTCTTAAGTAAAATATTATATTTTCGTTCTAGGCCGCCTTTGGATACATGCTGCCAGTAAAGTCCCGGAGGAATCTACAATCAAAGCAATGGAGGATTTCTATAGGGAAATTTACGCTGTGAATGGAATTACTGATATTAAATTTCCAGAGCATTACCCTGTTTCTAGACTGCTAGGTTAGTCCTTTTTATACTCATTTGATCTCTTTTGATATTAATGTTGCTTTATTGCTTGTTTTCTTTTTGCATTATTTCCCTAGATTAATACATCACAAATTGATAAAATGATTTTCTGGGTTCGGTTTCTAAAATGTGGAAAGATTACCGGAATTCCGAATGGCCACATTTTGTTATTTCTTTCTAATCTAGATTAATTATTCTGTGGCATAGGGTGTGTCGAAGTGGTTGGCTGTTTGACATGTGAAGAACTAGTTCAATGGGAGGCGCTACCTGAAGGGGTGGGCAACTTAACTTTTCTCACTCTTATGTTATTTGGTACTCAACAAAATATTCAACGATTCCGATTCACTGATTTTTATTCCTTCTCGTTTTTCTTCTTCATGCTCCCAGGTTAGGCTAGAAGGGCAAACTGATTTTTGCTGGCTCTGTGAGCAACCAAAGGTTTTACTTACATGGATAGTTGTTATTCTTTTGTTTTTTAATCCATTTCTTTTCGATTAGATATTATATTGTGATTTATTTTATTTTTTATTTTTTTGTAGAAATTGTTAGTCCCATTTGAGATGCGAGGTTTCCAACGTGTTTATAATCTGGAAAAGAAGGTAACATCATGCAAGAATTTATGCTTACGTCGCTCTCTCTCAATTTGCTTTGAATTAATATCGATCGAAATATTTGTAACAGATATATGAGGCTGCTGTTAGAGGCCTTGTCCCAGTTGATAGTCCTGCACCAGTAAAATTTCTGTTACCAAATCCAAGAGATCCTTTCTCCTTGAAGCCAGGATCAATTGCAGCATCCTTTCAGGATTCAAAAGCATCTGCCCTTGAGAAATCATCTAGTCTCAGTGCAGCAATAGCCGGTGCACGAGCAGCCGCTACACAGTTTTCAAAGGACCAAAATATTCGTACAAATACAATCCTGAATAATACACCTGATTCGACGTCAACTGAAACACAGATGATATATATAGACGACGATAGAATACCCAGTGGTAACTTGAAGGAAGGATCCATAGAGGCAAATTCGGCCTCAAACCAAAGCGACAGTGTTGAGGAAGAGGGAAGCAGTAGTCGCAGTCAACCTCCTGCACGTCTGAAACAGGACACTGGTGCCCCATCTAAGGTAAGCAGTCATTTGCTTCGATTGGATTTCTGGGTTTGAACTCGTGAACAATGTTACTGCACTCTATATATGAAAAACTCCCCCCCCCCCTTTTAATGTATTTGAACAAAATGGCACAATTTGAACTTCAGATTGCACCATCTAATGTTCTGATTGCTCCGGTATGTTTAGATTTTCGCAGCGGCGTTAAGGGGGCTGAAGCCATCATGAATCTCCAAGTTGTCAAATAGTTGTTGGGGAGAGGAGCTTGTATAATTAATTTTCTTCATTAATCTTTTCCATTTGTATGTACAATTAAATTCTCCATTGGTGTTTGTGGTTCACAGGTCTTGTTTTTATGTGCTGAACTTTCATGGATGATTGTAATTTATTATCTTGACAAGAGTGTAGAAACGACAAGTATTTGATGGAAGAGTCTTGAGTAGTTCCCCCCCCCCCCCCCCCAAAAAAAAAATTGAACTCTGAGCAACTAATTTAAACCCTAGCATTATAGCATAAGTTCAATCTTCATTGAAGCACTCAAGCTCTATAGTATTGTTGATAGAAACATTCTCAATATGCATTAGTTTGAAAAAAATGATAAAATTAAAATAAAATTCAAGTCAACAACTTTAACAATATTTTTTTAGAATACAATCTTTTAAGATATATTATCCAATGAAATTAAGTGATATATTAAAGTAAAAATCAATCTAAACAAATATAAAAAAAAAATCACGAACTAAATTACTTTAGTAGTTAAAGAAATTGTTATTGTTTCTAGAGGTTATATGTTCGAGCAACACAATTGCTTTGAACAATTACCCTGTTGCAGTTGATGGTACTCGAATCCATGACATCTAGAAATAACAACAATTCCTTTAACCATTGAGCTAAGTTGGTTCGTGTAAATTGAAGGTTGGCTTTATAATAAAATATCATGATATAGACTAATAAGTTGCAAACTTTGACATATTTAACTCTCACATGCTTTGGTACTTACTACACAGTGTGAACAGCCACTGGTCATTACGGAAATATGGTTTAAAACTAAAATTCTACTAATTTTAAAAATTTTATTTCATTGACTTTAAGTTGGAATGTAAAGAAAAAATGTATCCCACACCCATTTTCTTTCCACATTTACATAATCGAAATAGAAAAGAATAAATATTAAAATTCAAGTAATAAGTCTACTAAAAATCACTTTTAAAAATAGATTTATAAAAGAGAAAATCGCCTCAGTGACCAAAAAAAAGTTATAATATACGATTTTAACCAACTTTTTTTGGATTTGCCAAAATGACCAACAAAATCGCAACGCGAAATAAAAATCGCAACGCGATCCCCAGAATCGCAAATCAGTTTCCAAAATCGCAACGCGATTCTTGAAAATCGCAATGCGATATACGGATTCGCATTGCGATTTTCCAAAATCGCAACGCGAATATGAAAATCGCAACGCGAACACATAAATCGCAACGTGTATCCGTATATCGCAACGCGTATCCGTAAATCGCAATGCGTATCCGTATATCGCAACGCGTATCCGTAAATCGCAACGATAATCCGTAAATCGCAACGAGAATCTGTAAATCGCAACGATAATCCGTAAATCGCAACGAGAATCCGTAAATCGCAACGAGAATCTGTAAATCACAACACTGAAATTTTGGGTATATAACACTGAAATCATAAACTAAATCCCTAAATCGCAACTCATTCCATCTCCATCTATCACTCTCTCCGGCGACATCCGTTCCTATATCCAACGACATCCTTCCCAATCCGGCAACAGGTTTTAGTTTCGCAGCTCGTCTGTTTAGTAAATTAATTTACAACCATGAAATCATCTAATGTTGATCATGTTTGGATAGATTTGTGTTTTGGAGGGTCATGGGATAATGTTCATGGTGTTTTACAATATATGCCTTTACCCATGAATCTTCAACTAAAATTGTCTTTACAAAAGTTAACTTATGAAACTCTAATGCTACGTGTTTCAAATAAATTGAATTTAGAGCCCCTAAGTGGATTTAGGCTATCTTATCAGAGAAATGGTAAAGTTTATTTGTTAACCGACAATGAAGATGTTGAACGATTCATTGCTTACATTAGTGTTTCACAAGATGATGTTACAT